TCAGGAATGTCTGTGCTGGGATTAGGGAATGGACCAGGGAATGGATCAGGAATGTCTCTGATGGGGTCAGGGAATGGATCAGGAATGCCACATCCCACCCCGGGGGCACCTGCTGGAGCTGCTCTTTGCCTGGAGAATTTCTTGGATCCCTGGAAATGTCCAAGGCCAGGCTGGAGCACCCTGGGATGGTGGAAGGTGTCCCTGCCCATGGGATCATCTTTAAGGTCCTTTCCAACCCAAACCATCCCAGCATTCCACGATTTCTCCCTCCAAGCTCTGAGATACCACAGTTACTACTTAATTCTTCCCCCTCTTCTTCTGCTTGTCTTGTTCACTTCCAGATCCCCCAGGAACAAACTCCAGGTGGGAATTTTGTCCTCCAGACCTTCACTGCAGGAAATGCTGCAAGTTTAAGGAGTCACCAGGGTCTGTCCCATAAATAAATCACATTAAAAACACACATACACACACACACAGATATTTACACAACAATCTCTCCTGGTTCCAGAGGAACCATTAATGTCAATCAGAAAATTTGGGATTTGTTCCCAGGGCAGAGCCACCACCCAGCCCCGAGGGGACAGAGGTGTCACAGCTCTTGGAAGTGCCACAAGGCCAAGGGGTGGCACCTCCAGCAGCTCATTCCTCCTCCTGGGGAGCCATCCCAAAGGTTTCACAGAACCAGGAGCAAGTTTCCCAGGATCAGGATTCCTCATTTTGACTCTTCCCAGCATCATCAGCAGGATCTTCCAGGTCCTTTTCCTCCCTAATCCCTCTTTTTTCCTCCTTCCCACCTCTAATAATCCTGGCAGAACATCTTGGTGCTGCCTGAGAAATCAGGTAGACTTTGGAGAGACCAAAAAAAGACCAAACTGGGGCCAAAAAATAACCCCCAAAAAGATGAGGAATTCCTGTTCATGCACCTGCTGCAGCCTCAGGAATTCTGTGATCCAGACCAGGCTGCTCAGGCCCCACAAATCCCTGGGAGGAGCCAGGAATGTTTCCCACCTGGAGCTGAAACAATCCCCCCACAATGGAAGTTTTACGATTTTGATGGTTTGGTTAAAATTCCCATTTTTTATCCCCCTTTAGAGCCCACCCTGGCGAGTCCCATTTGCCACAGGGAGAGGTTTATCCCTCAGATTATCGGGATGCTGCTCAGCCCATTTCCCAGGGAACTGTTCCTCCCTCAGCACTGAACCTGCACCAAGAAATGTGGGTTTTTTTCCTTTTTATTCAGGTCTTCTGGGGTTTTCCCTTCCAATTCTGCAGCAGAACAAGTGAAACCTCAGCAACTGCAGCTCCCCAGGGCCTTCACTTTATCCAAGGAGGGGTGGGAGGAAGAAAACCTGCAATTTGGGAATTTGCTGCACGAGCCACAGTCTGTGGGCTGGGTTTGGAAATCCCAGCAGCAATTCCTCGCCAAGAGGATCCCGTTCCAAAACTCTCCAGCGGCTCCTAGAGGAGGGTGAGCCCTTTCAGGAGAGTTGGCAGCTCCTGCCAGGCTGGAAAACCCCTCCCAGAAGGATTTTCCTCCTCCAGTGATGACGAGAAAGGGTTGGAGGGGCTGAGCCTGCCAAGTGCTCCGGCGACACTAGAAGGCACCATTCCCTCAGGGATCAGCCTGGCAGAGCCTTCCCCGCCCTCAGCTCCCGAGGAAAACCCCCCAAACACGAGCCCACCAGCACAAAAATCGGGATATTTTATTTCCTTGAGCTCCAGTGATAACAACTGTAGCAGCATCTCACAAAAGAACTCCTGCATTGTTTTAAATACACATTTAAGAGAACACTTTTTTTTTTTCCAACCCCCCAAAAAAACCAACAAATACAACTGAAGAACTGCAAAGTTCCTCCTCCTCCCCTTAAATAACGAGTGATGTGCGTTTCTTGCAGAGGAAGCAGCAGAACATGTTTCACAGACCAGGCTAAAAATCAAACTTCAGGCTCAAAGCTCGGCTTTCAAATGCAAACTAGGAGAGAGGAGGGGCCTTGGGAAGGGGGATCCAGCATCAAGAAGTGTTTCCTGCTGGAGGGAAGAGACCTCTGCAGTTATTACCCCAGCTGGGCTGGTTTTATGGGAGAGCCAGAAATCCAGGGAGAGCCTGATAAATGTCCAAGTGCTCCTTTATCCACTCCCAGCTCGAGGAAGAGCAAATTCCCAAGAAAAGCTGGGGTTTGATTATTAAATCCCCTCCCAGCTCAAGGAAGAGCAAACTTCCAAGAAAACCCGGGATTGAATTAATAATTATTTGTTGATAATTATTAATTATTGGTGCTCAACACTCCAGAGGTTCCCCTGCTCTCCCCTCTCCAAGGAGATGCTCAGCTGGCCAAAAACTCAACCAACATCCTGACTTCTCCCCAGGCAAATCCAGGCTCCAAGCAGGAGATGAGGCTCTCCCAGAACCCCAAAGGGGAAGGCAGGAATATCAAAGCAGCAGCCAGAGGAAGGGGGTGATGCAGGAGGCACCACTCCTGAACTGGCACTAAAAGCTGCCACCACCCCCCAGGATGCTACAATTTGCCTCTTCAGCATTAAAGTGACCCCAGAATTTCCCCTCCCTGGAAACACTCAGTGCAAAAGCAGCTGAACTTTGCCACTTTTAAGACACAGGGTGAGTTTGACACAGTGATTAGTTCCTTTAAAGACAAAAAAATTAAAGCATCGAGCAAAGCTCGTTTCCCCACGAGGTTTGTCTACACAAGGCACAGAGAGGAGCTCTGGGATTCACCTTCTCCAAAAAAAAAACCAAAAAAAACCCAGAGCAAAGGGATTAGATGGGATTAGTGTCATCCTAAGGGACACAACTGGCTGGTGGGACATTCCAGGGACACATCCCAGCCCTAAAGCTGCTCCCAAAGCCACATCCCAGGGTGCAGAGCAGGGCAAGTCCCAGGGAGGGTGGGGATGGACCAGCTGGTGCCCTGGAACTTCTGGTTGCACATCCAGGCTCCTCAAATCCCCCCTGGGTCACCCAAGGGGCTAAAAGGGGGGGATTTGGGGTTTGGGAGAGCCCTTCCCAGGAGGAGCAGGGCACACAGGGAGGCTGCCACCCTGCCCCAAAGCTCAGCATTCCCACAGCAGGAAAACCAAACCCAGGGCACGAGGAACCTCCCCAGGGTGGGTTTCTCCCCCCAGGGTGGATTTTTCTCCCCCCAGGGTGGATTTTCCTCCCCACAGGGTGGATTTTTTGCCTCCCTAGGGTGGATTTTTTGCCTCCCCAGGGTGGATTTTCCCCTCCCCAGGGTGGATTTTTCTCCCCCCAGGGTGGGTTTTTTCCCCCTCCTCAACAGAGCTCCTTGTCAAACACAAGCTGGGAGGTGGCTTTGGTTCTTCCCTAAGGCTTTCCCAAGGTTTCTGCTGCTGGTTTGGGAGCTGCCAGGATGTGACCCCTGCGACTCAGGGGCCAAACTGTAAACAGAAGCTCCAGGTGCCCCCCTTTTCCCGGGAGCAGAGCAGCTCCATGGACCCACTCGGAGCCCAGGTCACTCCTGGCAGCAGGATCAGGGCTTTAGGGAGAAAACTGGGAATAAATTAAGGGAGGATGAAGGTTGCTCAAGCTGTCACACGCCATAAAAATGTACCTTTAAAAATAAGAGAGTCTGCAAAATAAGTACTTTTAAAAATCTACATCTTAAAGAGTCTCCTTGTAAAAAAATGGAAAGGAGTTTTCCCCTTTTTCCACCCCACCCCCCCCACAAAGTGACCAGGGATTTCGGGGTGCTCCCCAAAATTCCTTTTCCCTCCCATCCCAACAAGGGGCCACCAAGTACCTGACACCCAGGTGAGAATCCAGGTCACCATCTGGGGGTTAAATGCTGTAAAATTAAAGCCAATCTGGCTATAAAAATAAATGCTTTTGTGTCTTCCTCTCACGGGATGGAAGAATTCAGCCCTTTTTAAACAGCTTCACATCCAGCTGTAATAGCACTTTTTAGAAAACAACCCAAATGCTTCCATAGAAAAATAAAGGATAAACATTATCCACCTCTTTTATATTTCTATAAAAGTTAAGTTCTGTGACAGGATATTCTGCTTCTTTGCTGTAAAAAAAAAAAAAAAAACAACAACAAAACAAACAAAAAAAAAACCCCAAACAACCCACCCAGCTTAGGTTTTGTCCAACCTAAGGAAAGGAGGAAACTACACCTTCAATCTTATCCAGAAGAAAAAAAAAAAAATAGCAGTTGGCAAGTTGGCTCCTCCGAAAATAAAGTTATTAAATATATATATATATATATATATTATTAGAAGTCTTTATAAACTTTTTGTTTAAAGCCAGGAGGACCCAGGACCTCCCCTTGAGGAGGATGGCGGCGTGGGAATCCTCCAGAGACGTGTTCCTCAGTGGGATGCGTGTCCCAGAGCTGGCTGGGGGGGGTGACACACACAGAGGGGACCCACAGAGGGGCCACTGAGGCTCCTGCCCAACCTTCACAAGGACGTTCTTTTCTCCAGCTTGTGCTTTGTGAGGAAGTACTTGAAGAACTCGTACACCGACCACGCGATGGCCGTCGAGGGCATCTGGTAGATGACCCGAGCTTGGACCCCCCTGAAGAAGCCGGGCAGCCCCCCCAGCTGGTAGACGGTCCTGAAGGCGTTCAGCATGCCCGAGAGGTGCCCGCTGATGTTGAGGGAGCTCAGGGCCGTGTTCTCCTGCGTGTTCAGGAGGGTTTTGCAGACGTCCAGCGGGGTGGTGGCGGCGGCGGCCACGGCGCCCGCCACGGCCCCGGACACGATGTGGGAGCGGGGGTTGTACTCGCGGCGGGGGTTGATGTGCTCCTGCATGAACTCGTAGGTGATGAAGTGGATGGCCTGGAAGGGCACGTTCATGGTCAGCTGGGTGGTGTAGCTGCGGTAGAAGGCCCCGAAGCCCTCGGTCCTCTGCACGGTCCTCACGCAGGACAGCACCGACTTGTACGGCGAGTTGAACATCTGCATCCGCTGCTTCACCACTGCGGGGGCACGGGGAGCAGAGAGAGGGCTGTGAGCTCCAGCACAGCTGGGCTGGTCCTCTCAGCACCCAGACTGAGCCCTGCTCCAGCCACAGCCACCCAGAGCCAACCTCACCTTCCACACCCAGACTGAGCCACCCAGAGCCAACATATCCTTCCATGTCCAAACTGAGCCACCCAGACCCAACCTCGCCTTCCAAATCCAGACTGAGCCACCCAGAGCCAACCTCGCCTTCCACGGCCAAACTGAGCCACCCAGAGCCAACATCTCCTTCCAAATCCAGACTGAGCCACCCAGAGCCAACCTCGCCTTCCACACCCAGACTGAGCCACCCAGAGCCAACATATCCTTCCATGTCCAAACTGAGCCACCCAGAGCCAACCTCGCCTTCCAAATCCAGACTGAGCCACCTGGACCCAACAGCTCCTTCCATGTCCAAACTGAGCCACCCAGACCCAACCTCACCTTCCAAATCCAGACTGAGCCACCTGGACCCAACAGCTCCTTCCACAACCCCCAAACTGAGCCACCCAGACCCAACCTCACCTTCCAAATCCAGATTGAGCCACCCAGAGCCAACATCTCCTTCCACATCCAAATTGAGCCACCCAGAGCCAACCTGACCTTCGAAATCCAGACTGAGCCACCCAGAGCCAACCTCGCCTTCCACACCCCCCAAACTGAGCCACCCAGAGCCAACCTCCCCTTTCAAGCCCACCCAGACCCAACCAAGTCCCCCAAGCCCAAACTCCAGACCCAACTTCACCTTCCACATCCAAACCAAGTCACCCAGAGCCAACCTGCCTTTCCAAGCCCAAGCTCCCGACCCAACCTCCCCTTCCAAGCACAAACTGAGCCCCCCAAACTTCCCAATGCCCCCAAAAGACTCATCACAGGGAGGGAAGCAGGTCAGAGCTCTGCACTCCCATGGGCTAATGAACTCCTCTGCTCCAGCTTAATTAATGACCTTTTAGTTCTGGCTTAACTAATGACTCTTTAGTCCTAGAAAAGTGAATTAATCACTGTCCCTCACCTGGGAAGTGGAACAGACCCACCTCCAGCCCCACTGACTGGAGCAGCTTCCACTGACTCAAGCAAAAGGCCAACTAATTTAATTCACTTCATCAGGGCATAATTAAAAGGATTTGACACACTAGAGATTTCTTCCCTCAGAAAAACCTGACTCTGGGCCAGCTCAGGAGTGCAGTGAGGAGCTGCAGGCCAGAGAATTGTCATTTTAGCTGCATTTTACACCGAGGGGCCTCATTTCACTGAGTCCTAAACCCTAAAGTCATCGAGTTATTAAGTTTGGTTCAAAACTATTTAATTATAAGTCGGTTTTAATAAAGTGCTAAAAGGATAACTTAAATAAAATTAATTTCTGATAGAGAATAATGGGAATAAGTTAAGTAGTTTGTTTAAGCCAACTAAACATGTTTTAAATTGATCCATGGTTATTTAGTCTAACATTGTCCAGAATTCTTTCTTTTGCACTTGTTCCTTGTTTACCTTTCTATATCTAACAAATGTTTATCTGATAGTCTTTTTTGACAGGTTAAATGTTTTTAATGTCAGTGCTAAATTTGAGAAGATGCTCACTGCACATTATTTGAAGTTCTGTGCATTTTACTACGTGTCCCCTGACTGACATCTTGTGCTCAAGGAGCAATTAGTCAGAGTTTCTCCCAAACCTTGTTTTTCAATTTAAAAACAAAAAAAAAGGGGAATTTGTCACCACAAGTGCTAAGTTATGATGAGTTTGCTCCAGGGCAGCCAATCCTAAGGTATGTTTATAAAGGAACACCAACTACAAAGCAACGTTTATGTTACACCGAGGAGTAAAAATGCCAGAGATCTGCTGCAACAAACCCCCTGTGCTGTTCTATCCCTCTCCTGCCTTGCTGCTTGGAACTAGAGTGTGTATTTTTGAGGAGTGACCCCGGGGGGAGCAGCCCTGCCCTTCCCAGGGCTTACCTTCGGCGGGATTCATCACGGCGTCGTGGAGCAGCGTGGCCACGCTCCCGGCTATCCCTGCGGGGCAAGAGCAGCCTTGAGAAAGGAACCAGGGCTTGCCCGGGCACTGCCACCCATGGAGGCAGCTGGGGGGAACACCCAGGGACACTGCAGTGACTCCCAGGGCAGCAAAAGCCACCCAGGGACACCGGGATGCACTCACAGCCACCAACCCCAACGACTCCCAGGGTTTTGTCCACACCACAACCCCATCCCCCCCAAAATGACTGAGACGTGAGCAATGTTTGCAACCACCCCAGCACATCCATAATTAGTTGTTTTCAGCCCTTTACTCAGCCCTTTACTTTTCAAACACTAATTGCCCACACTCTGCCAAGTCCAACCAGCCATGAACGATCCCGCAGTTGGCTCCAGGAAGGGCCTCTCCAGCCACACCTTCCCCTTTGATCTGGGTTCCCACCTCGAATTCTCTCTTGCCCAAATGACTTTTGGTCATTTCTCATTAACCCAGAGCTCCAGTTTTCCTGCTGGTACCAAAAAGCCTGTAGCTACTTGAAAGGCAAACATGGGAAAGGTATTCCTGGCAAAAAGCAGCAAGAAGAAGGATGTTTTACTCCCTGAACTGAGGGAAGTGAGTCCACGGCAGATTCCTGCTCTCACACCACGTCAGGTCTCCTGCACAAACCTTTTTCTAACACCCTGGCTGTTCATTTAAAGGGTTTCTGCTGTTACAGAGTTATTTCTGGGCTGAAAAGCAAAATATTCCTGATAAAAGCCAAATTGAGCACACAGAGGATGGAGGAGGGCACTTCATGTTGGAGCTCCCAGGGACAGCTGGAACAACCTGAACTCCAAACCTCCCAGAGTGATGCCTTCAACACAAGGTTATACCTTTAGGGGACACCTTCAAAGGCTGGACCTGATGCTCCTGAAGGCCTTTTCCAACTTTAATGGTTCTGTGATAACACAGAATCAGCACAACTGCACCTGAACACCTCCTGTCCACTGCACTGAGGACTCGTGCTGGGATATTTGGAGGTTAAACAGCAGTGCAGGAACCTAAACCAGACTGAATTTGGAGGGCAAACACGAGTGCCATGAGGTCAGGAAGGGCTCCTCTACTCCACTGCTGACACCCAGCCCAGCCACCTCCACCTGCCAAGCACTGCCCAGTGCCAGGACAGGCCAGGGGTGTCAGAGGAACAAGGTGACCACCAAGAAGGGCTCAACCCGGGGGCAGGTGCCACCTCTTTGCCTCCTGCCTCCTCCCAGGGGGATTATTTGGCTGCCTGGAGCAGACATTCCAGGAGCAGAGCACAGGGAAGGCGGGAAGCAAGCGATAAAACCACAAGTGGGGTGGGGGTGGTTTTTTTGGGGGTGACAAACCCCCCAAAATACCATTGGCCAGGTGGCTGTTTCCTCCCTGCTGGAGAGTGTCACTGAGGGACTTTTTCATTTTCTCATAGCAGGCAAAGTACATGGCGTGGGCAGGGCCAGCCCCCAGCATGGTGACATTAATCCCACGTAAAGGCCTCCAGAGCCCCTCAGTGAGGACAATCTTCTTCAGAGCTTCGTACACACTCCTGTACTGGGCTTTGGGGTCCGGCTGCAAGCTCTGCATCCTTGTCTGCAACAAAGCACACGGAGGGAGAGGCCTTGGTTACCCAGCTTTGCACTCAACAAGCACAAAATCCACGAGTTCATAGAATCAGCTGGGTTGGAAGGGACCTTTGAGATCAAGTCCAACCCTTGATCCAACCCCGCCGTGGTTCCCAGCCCATGGCACTGATGCCACATCCAGTCTCAGCTTAAAAACCTCCA